CTTCAGAGGAAACTTCAGCCAAAGATTTCTCTGTATCAGAGTGGTGCTCAGCAGAAGTAAGAAATTCACTTTCTTATTTACAGGCAGTGTTTAAAGGCAAGCTTAGTTATATGTAGGGATGTACCGATACCGGTTCTCCGGTATTGTGTACGAGTACCGATATTTTTTTTTTGGGTACTCGCTGATACCGAAAGTCTCATTAAGCCAGGTGGCGTGTAATGACTCGCCACCTGGCTTCCTGATTAGCCGGGAAGTCCGGCGGTGTGTAAAGACTCGCCAACCGGCTTCCCAATTATCAGGGAAGCCGTCTCCATGCTTCCTCATCATCAGGTGACGAGAAAGCATGGAGCCGGCTTTCTGTCCAATCAGGATGTCGGGCGTCTAATGACCTGACTTGACAAAAGTCAATCTAAAATTCGGTTGAGCTGGGTGAAAATTATCAGTCAGTGACTGCAACCTTACAGATGCAGTCACCGTTTGGGTATTCAGATAGCCACGGGGTGCAGTGGCTGTATTTGGATACAATAGCTGGTAGTGCAGATGAGGAATATTTTTATTTTCTAAATCTATATGGCTAGCCTTACCTTCCACCCCATTCTAGCGATCTTTACTTTGAGGCCCAGCCTGTCTTCCCAAAATGTCTCTGCCAGCTACTCTGCTTTGATTCCTTTCTATGGGTGATCTGTATTTTGCAGGATTGCTGGAATTTATTACAGGTATTTATATAGCGCCAACAATCTACACAGTGCACATTCACATCAGTCCCTGCTCTCAATGAGCTATATGGTCTAGAGCTGCAGCTAACGATTATTTTCAAAATCGATTAGTTAGTCGATTATTAGGTTCGATTAATCGGTTAATCGGATAAACCATAAAATAGAGTTAAAAAAAGGCTCCAGTGATGGGACTACTAGTTTGTATTGAGGTTGTAGTCCATCACAGGAGCAAGCTTGGAGCGGTGGAAGTAAAAAAGAAAAAAGATAGTGTGGTGTGCAATATAGTGAAATGGAAAGTGTAAACTTATACAGCAATGAATGCAGAATACCACCAGCTATAGAGGAATACAACAAATCCCAGCAATAGTACATAATAGCTGGCGGCATTCTGCATTGCGCTGTATAATGTACTATTGCTGGGTTTTGTAGTCCTCTATAGCTGGTGGTATTCAGCATTGCACCACTGTATAATGTATTATTGTTGGGATTTTTTGTACTCTTCTATAGCTGGTGGTATTCCGCATTGCGCTGTATAATGTATTATTGCTGGGATTTGTATTCCCCTGTACAACGCAATGCAGAATACCACCAGCTATATAGGAGTACAACAAATCCCAGCAATACATTATACATACAGTGTATAATGTATTGCTGGGATTTGTATTCATATGTATAATATACAGCACAATGTACCATCAGCTATAGAGGAATACAAATCCCAGCAATACATTATAGAGCACCATGTGTGGAAAAGCTTACCTGAGCAGTCTTCCAGCAACTTGCTTCTGAGATCGGACCTGTCTATCGGCAGCTGTCATCACCCCACACCTGCTCCTCCTTACTACATCTCCCTGTGCGTCCCTGTGCCGATCGTGGATGTGGGTGGGTGGTGAGTGTGAGGCGGGGAGGAGGTGCGGCGTGTGGATGCGGGCACGCGAGTCTGGCAGCGGCGAGCGTGAGGTGGGGAGGAGGTGCGGCGTGTGGATGCGGGCACGCGAGTCTGGCAGCGGCGAGGGCGTGAGGTGGGGAGGAGGTGCGGCGCACAGCGTGTGGAGCTGTGAACAGGGCCAACTGATCGGAAGCCGATTAATCGATTATTGAAAAAGTTGACAACTTTTTCAATAATCGATTATGTCGATTAGTTGTTGCAGCCCTAATATGGTCAACGAGCTCTATGGTCGCTATCTCACATGCAGGAGCCAATTAACCTTGGAGTGTGGGAAGAAACTGGAGTACCCAGAGGAAACCCGCACAAGCCCAGGGGGAACATGCAAATTCCTTGCAGATATGTATCCTGACCAAGATTTGAACCGGGAACCCCCAGTGCTGTAAGGCAGAAGCGCGAATTACTAAGTCACTGTGCTACCTACATACGCAATACCTCTCAAATATAGGGATGAATGGGGCCACCGTGCTTAGGAGGAGCTAGCGGGGATGTTTTCAGAAAAAAAGGATGCCCAATGCCAAGCAGAGCCTCACAGTGAGGATGGCTGGAAGGGGGAGCAAGGTAAGTATTTAACTCTTACTCTGTCTGCCTTTAGGCCTGGTTCACACTGTTTTTTTGGGCATATTACGGCTCGTTTTGGCCCCATAGACTCAATAGGAAATGCTTGCAAATGCACGTTTGCTATGTTTCTGCGCGTTTTTATGTGCGTTTGCTCATTAACATCAATGAGCTACAATCCGCTCACAAAAAGCGTGATTTGATTTATGTGCATAAAACAAAAATGCTGGTGCGTAGGTGTGAAGCCATCCTAAGGCCATCCCTGAAAACTCACCTCTCCAGGGAAGTCTATCTCACCTCTTCCTGACAACTGAACTTTTACCTTGTCCATCAACTTATCCCTACACAGTACTTACCCTTCGTACCACTTGCTTTCATAAGCGGGGCCCTCTTAATCCTCTTGTATTGAATTGTATTATAACCAGAGGTGCACCGAAATGGAAATTTCAAAACAGAAACCGAAAAAAAAAATTCAGGCCGAAACTGAAAATGTTCATTTTAACTTTTTCAAATATTTTATTTTTATTTATTATAAACGTTTTCATTTTTATTTATTCATTTGTTATTAAATATTGTTATTTTTTACTTTACTTCTAGGGGCTTCGGGGAAATATTAGGAGTCTAAACAGACCCCTGATATTTCCCTTTTAAAATAGAAACGAGATTGAGAACACAGAGCCCTCAATCTCTTTTTCCACCACCCCTGTTATAAATGAACAGAAATCCTCTATACTGAGTGTTCCTGTTCATTCATAACATGAGAACAGAGTATGTTTACTATAACTACAACTATGAATGCACAGGAGGTGATGTAGATCACTCCCATTCATTCATGATTGAGGATATAGTCAACATACCATGTCCTCAATTATTTACAAACACTCAGCTCTGCAGCGCTCATCCGCCTGTGACAGTTTCTCTCCTCCCAGCTGGGACACAGAGCAGGTCCCACCAGGGAGGAGAGAACAGGATGCGCCGTTGTATCAGCTAGAAAATGCCACTTTCAGCATTATGCCACAAGTGCCAATTTCGGCCGATATATCGGTGAATCCCTAATTATAACTGTACTGTCTCCCTTTATTTTGTAAAGCGCCCTTATAACTGTTGGCACTGTATAAATCCTAAATGATAATAACAGCAGGCAGAACTCAGGATTTATTAAAGACAAGTTTACTAAGGCTACTGAGAGAGTCTGTGGAATGGCTCCCTTGCTGGCCCAAAATGTTGGTGAATCCCCGATAACAGCTGTCACTATGTCACCCTGATGAAAGGACCCTGTGTGGCCCCGAAACGTTGGTCTTGCGTGCAACGCATTTCTGCAATAGATATATACAAGAATCTTCCGTTGAGTGCTGGTGATCTTCATTACTTTCTGCGCCATCCGTGATCTATCATTGCGAGCACCACGATTCACCATATGGCCCCTAATACTGCAAGGAGTGCAGAGGATACATCTGGACACAGGACTGCTCATGTGACATGGCCCTAAAAGTGAACTTGTCCTTTAATGTGTAAAAAAGCTGTGTTATAGTTTTCATGCCTATTTATTTGAATGACACCCCAATACACATACTTACACACTGAAAACAAACACTTCTGACCTTCAATGCCGAAAAACAAGAGCGTTGCCTTGGCACTGGAAGAAAAACTTTAGTTATGTTTTTTGGGTCTGTGAACACACAGACCCGCTAAAAATGAATAAATCTGTTCAGCAAAATGGGGGGAATTCATGAAAACTGGAGCAGATAGAATTTTGAGCAGTTGCCCATAACAACCAATCAGCTTCTCTTTTCATTTTTTTCAAACTCCGAAAGTGAAACGGAGAAGCTAATTGGTTGCCATGGGCAACTGCTCTAGATTCTGCCTGCTCCAGTTTTTATGAATTCCCCCCCAATGGGCTTCAACACGCCAAACCGGCGTGCAAAAATGAATGCACAAGAACGATTAGGCGCTAATAGAATACTTCGTACAAACTTTAAGGAGTCCATTGTTCTGGAACAATGTGGAAGTACCCTTCAGACTGAAAGCACTGCCATGTACAGGCAAGGAGAAGTGAAAGTTTTGTCAGTCATGTCACTGGCCAGACAATAGACTGCCGCGCTCTGTTTACATGAAGAAGGACGAGGGCCTGCGATGCCGTGACGTCATGCAGGCCTTTATCTGTCGGTGTTGTTATTGTCCCCCCAAGTCCCGGAGGACACCTCTCCTCCCCCTTCTGCTTCCCACGTGCTAGCGTCCCTCCGGACTCCGGCAGTGAGACGGTTAACGTGACGGCGGAAGCATCCTGTGCGGAGCCGCGTCACTTGAGTGTCACATCCCGAGCGGTCGCGCGTATCCCTCCTCCTTCTTCTTCTCAGATACCGCTGCGGCTCTAAATAAAGACCCGGTGCAAGGAAGAGAGAGAAAAAAGAAAAGAGCTCCACGAATTCCTCGTACCGGATACACCGACACAGGCTCCTCCCCCCGCTTCCGGAGCCGTGCTGTTCCTCTGTGTGAGTGCCGGGGGGGTCCCTGAGGCCTGAGCGCTTCCTATCGCGGAGAGCCCGGCTCGTCTGGACTATTTTTTCTCCGGGCAAGGGAAGATGGCGCCTGAGTGCTGAGAAAGGGAGAGCGAGAGAGCGGCCTGCTGGGAGGTGGGGAAAAAGGACGACAGGAAGCGGCGACATTGGACACGGACGGAGCACTGGGCCGGCAGAGCCGGGGCATGGAGTGAATCGGGCCGGGGAGGCCGGAGCTGCACGCCGTAGGGGTGGCCTTGCTTGGTTCAGTCGTCGGGAAGCTGGATCTGGTGACGGGGTGAGATGCTGCCCCGACGCTGGGGGATCTGCCTGGCCCGGCCGCTGTAGAGGTGAGAGAGAGGCGGGCAGGGCTGGGAGGGGCTGGGAAG